GGTATTTTAATTAAAATAAAATTTTTAGGCATATTTACTTAAAAAATTAATAATAACCATACTTACATATATTTTTTTTTGTAAAATCATATTTCTCGAATTCTTCTAAATAAATACCTTAACCATTGTTGATATGTTGTTCTCAACTCACATTTAATTCATCAAAAATATGCTAATCTCACCACCTTTATACCTCACTAGCACTCCTTTTCATCTTTCTCCATAGGTCTGTTTCATTTCTTTCCAACCCCTTTAATCCCTTCGATTTTTGATCCACTCTCCTTATATTACCATTAGATTCCAATTCCTCATTTGCTTCTCCATTTGAGAAAACCATATCAGGATCTTCTCTCCACTTTATCTCCCCTCTTTCACTAATTCTCCTACCACAAAGGTCCAAAATATTGTTTGATCTGATATGCCCAAGGCAGACGTAGGTTGATCGCCGCCATCTAAGGTGAGGGTTTACTCCTTGTATGGAAATACAAAGCCAGAAGCAAGTGGAGGCCTCCTCTTTTAATTCATTACTTATCAACCCATTTTATAAGGATTATAATGATAAAAATTCAAAAAACTAATGAGCAAATTTTGAAGAGAATGATATGTGACCATTAACGGAGGAAGATATTAACTATCTTCCTAATTTATTATATTTTATGAGCAGCCATAAAAGCCAAGTCTAAAAATTTAAATATTCTAGAAACTAAAATTAAAATATAAATTTAAATATTTCTTCTTGATATGTTGTGATGGGTTAAGAATGAGTGCTTAATAGGGCACTTTTTCGGGCTCTTGGAAGTGGACACATTTGACTTCATTTGCTTAAGAGTTTGAAAGTGTTTTAGTATTAGATTAATTCGTATAATTTCTTCTACATTTTTAATCATATCTCATTACAGTGTTTAATTTCCTCCATACAAAATGCAATATTCATTTATAAAAAAAAAAACCCATACATTACTTTTCAACAATTATTTCCTTCTTCAAGTATTTTACTTCGTAGAAATAAATAAGTGAAATAAAAAAAAATATGCATGCAATTTGAGAATAAAAAAGTTCACTAAAATAATTTAGATAACTACTTTTCTTTTAAAAATAAAGTAAGAATTCTAATCTAAGTAATCATTGAAATTATTAAACTAGATTACTAAACTAAATATTAGTACAATTTAAATGATTAACTTGAAAAAAAAATCTTAAATTACTTTTGAGTAAGAGAAACCATGTAGTGGATATTTGATAAAAGAAAATATGAAAATAAATAAGATGCAAATTTGAAATACTCATAAAAGTTATTCACTAAAAAAATCACCAATGTCATCTTCACAAAAATGTAAATAAATTCTCACTAAAAATTAATACCTCATTTATGATGAGAGCTAATTTATTATATTAATGTAAGATATGTAGTGGATTTTTGTTAAAATAATAATTAAAATACAAAAGATGCAAATTTGAAAAACTCACCAAAGTTCTTCACTAAGAAAATGAATCACCAAAATCATCTTCATATTTAGACAAATGAATCCTTACTAAAATATAATACCTAATTTATTAAGGGTGGTAAAATTTATTGTAATTATAATTTTAATGGTTGAGATATTAGGCACACCACAAGTGTAAAACTCCCCTAATCTATTTTATTGTCAAATTGTTCCTTTCCAGATTTGGTCTGCCACCAAATATGATGGTGGTGGGTGCACTTTATGGAGAGATAAGTGTTAAAAAATGCTATGGATGTTTGATATTGCATCTAATGATGTGACATGAGGATTTTATTGGATTGTTAAAAGATTTAAAGAGGCAATAATGAATAACATATAAAGACTAGTCCAGATTAGGCTAGAATGGGCTAATTTGAAATATTTATTTGGAAAAGCGGCTTAATAGTGGGTAAATTATTGGAAATGATTATTTGTGGTTAACTTAGGATGCGTACCTATGATTTAAAATAAGTTTTTAGTTTTAGATGGGTTTAAAATTTTTGTAAGGGTCAGAGAACTAGACTGGGCCTTAATTTGCTCTAGCTTGGCCAAGAGCTATGAAGAGGGGTTTGGAATGGTTGTTAGGTTTTGATATTAATAGAAGATTAAGATGTGGATGAGGGGGTAGTGAAGTTTTTAGAGTAAATTTTACGGAGAGATAATGAATAACTTAAAAGAAAAGCAAAACTAAATATGTAACTTCACCAAATAAAAGATAACATTTTGAAGCCACCAAACATAAAATAACAAGAGAGAAAAATTTCACTCAAATATTTCATCTAACAACTGATTTAAGTCTTACATATCAGCTCTATTTATAAGGATTACACTGATAAAAAGTCAAAAAAAGGAAAAGAAAATTTTGAAGGGAATAGTAGGTGGCTATTAAAGGAGAGAGAGGCTAACCACCTTCCAAATTTTTTTCTTGACTAGCCATAAAAGCCTCCAAATTTGAAAATTCAAACTTTTCGAAACTAAAATTAAAATACAAATAATAAATTCAAATATTTCTTTATGATCTGATTTTTGTTTTTTTTTCTAATGGACACTTATTGAATAGTTTTTTGGGCTCTTGTAAGTGGACATTTGACTTCCAGTTTCTTGAAAGTTGTAATCTGTTTTCGCCTTCACTTGATTTTTATTATTCTTCTTCATTTTTGTCCATGTCTCACTTCACCGCTTAATGCTTTTTCATACAAAATATGATATCCATTTATTAAAAAAACCTTATTTTTCTCTAAATCAATTTTCCCCTTATTTAAGAGTTCTACTTAGTAGAATTAAATAGATAAAGATAAAAATAAAAAATATGCATGAAATATGAGAATAAAAAAAATAAATCTAAGATTTAAAATTTAGCAAACATGCAAACTAATTTAGATAACTACTTCTCTTTTAAAAATAAAGTAAAAATTTTAATTTAAATAATAATTTAAAATGATAAACTAGGTCACCAAACCAAAGATTAACATAAATAAAATGATTAACTTGAAAAAAGTCATTTTTTTTAGTAATGAGAAGCTATGTAGTTGATATTTGATAAAAATAAAAAGTAAAGTACATAAGATGCAAGTTTGAAGAACTCATCAAAATTCTTCACTAAGAAAATAAATCAACAACACATGCTTGCAAATGAATTCTGACTAAAATCTAATACCTAATTTATGAAGATTCATAAAATTTATTATAATCATGTAAACTATATAATGGATCTTTAGTAAAGGAAAAGGAAAATACATAAGATGCAAGTTAAAAAAACTTACTAAAGTTCTTTGCTAAGAAAATGAATCACAAAACTCATCTTCACATGCATGCAAATAAGTCCTCGATAAAATCTAATACCTAATTTATTAAGGGTGATGAAAATTATTATAATCATAATTTAATTTTTGAACCATTATGCATACCATAAGGGGAAGACTCCCAAAAAATATCTTATTGCTGCAATGTTCCTTCCTAGATCTATTACCAAATATGATGGTGGTGGGTGCACTTTATGGTGAGATGAGTGCTAACAAATACTATGGATGTTTGGTGTTGCGTATAACAATTTGATGTGAAAATTTTGGTAGTTGTTTAAAATATTTAAAAGAGAATGGTGCTTAACACACAAAGAGTAGTCTAAATGCAGCTAGTGTGGGCTAATTTAAAATATCTATTTTGGAAAGTGGCTCAAAAGTGGGTGGATGGCTTAAAAGTTGTTATCTTAGGATAGGTACATAAGATATGGAGTAAATGATAGTTTTAGATGGTTTTACAATTGTGTTAAGTGTTAAAGAAGAAGACTATACTATAATATGTTCTAGCTTAGTCGAGAGCTATGAAGAGGGGTTTGGAATGATTATGAAACGTTGGTTGTTGGTTATTGATATTAAGAGAAGTTTAGGAGGTGGATAAAGGGGTGGTGAAGATCTTAGAGCAAGTGTTATGGAGAGATAATGAATAACTCAAAAGAAAAGTAAATATAAATACATAATCTCACCAAAGAAAAGTCCAACACTTGAAACCACCAAACACCAATCAACAAGAGAGGAAATCTCACCCAAATATTTTATTTAACAGTTGATTGAAGTCATTACACATCAACTTTATTTATAGGGGTTACAATGTTAAAGATTCAAAAAAAAAAAGAGAGGAGAAAATTTGAAAGAAATTGTAGGTGGGCATTAATAGAGGAAGATGCTAACCACCTTGCTATTTTATTATTTTTTTATGACCTGCTATAAGAGCCTCCAAGTTCGAAAATTCAAACTTTCTAGAAGCTGACATTAAAATATAAATAACAAAATATAAATTCAAATATTTCATCTTGATATGACTAGTGATGACCCTTGAATAAGCTCTTAATTAAGCACTTTCTTACACTTGCCCGAACACTTGTAAGCAGACATTTGGCTTAATTTGTTTGAGAGTTTGAATGTATTTTAGCCTTCATTTAATTCTCATAATTTCTTCTTTATTTTTGAACATATCTCATTACAGAGCTTAATTTTCTTCCATACAAAATATGATTTTCATTTGTATAAATAATCTTACATTGTACTAATTCAATTATTTTATAATAATTATTCAAAAGATGTTCAATTCATAATTTTAAGTTGATTATAGTAAGTTCTTAGTATTTATAATATGTTTACTAGTGTTATGGGTAATGGTTTAACTGTCAGCATTGATTGCAATCATAAATAACTAGAATGTTATTAATAATCACAAACGATGAATGGAAAATAATCATCATCATGAAATTTCATTATAGTACAAACATGCATGAAAGAAGAATAGTCAAGAAGCTACGCATTTAAAGGTTGAATGGGCTTTGAGCTTTTTATTCAATAACAGAGGTGTTTTAATTAAATAAAACTTTTAGGCATATTTTCTTAAAAAATGAATAAGAATCATACTTGTATATATATATATATATATATTTTTTTTTTTTGGCAATTGTGTGATAGTATAAAATCAAATTTATCGTATTCTTCAAAATGAATACTCAACCATTGCTGACATATTGTTGTTCTGAACTCACTAATCTCAACGCCTCCATGGCCTGAACCGGCGCTCCCCTCAGTCTTCCTCCCTGGTTCCATTTCATTTCTTCCCTCCCCATTTCATCCTTTCGATTACTGATCCTCTCTCTTCATCTCACTAGAACCATTTGATTCCAATTCCTCCTTTGCTTCTTCCGTTCGAGAATACCCTATCAGGGTCTTCTCTCCACTCGATCTACCCTCTTTCATCAATTCTCCTAGCACAAAGTTTCAAAATTTTCGTTGATCCGATATGCCCCAGGCGGACGTCGCCTGATCGCCGCCTTCCAAGGCGTGGGCCGGCTCCCTCTTGTATGGAAACGCGGAGCCGGAAGAGGGCGGAGGCCTCCTCTTTTAACCCCCCTGCTACCCGTGCATCGAAGCGCCCTCGCTCTTCCTCTGCCTCCTCTTCTGATACGCCGGTTGCATTCCGCACTCGCCAAGCCTTGAACAGCACAGCCTCCCCCGTCATGGATTCTGATAATGCCTCTGGTGGTCGCCGGGAGCGCCGTAACTTCGGAAGGAGCAATGTGAGGGACAGGGATCCTCCTGCTGACAAGGGTAAGGAGAGGGACCCCTCCGAGGGTTCCTCTCGCTTTCGGGAGAGGGAGAGGGAGAGGGAGAAATATATGGATAGAGAAGCTGAGAGAATCTTAGGACTTAGCTTCGACAGTGGCGGTGCAGATGATGACAACGATAGCGAAGGTGGCGTGAGTGCCCTTCACCAGAACTTCAGTTCTGCTAGCAGTGCTCTTCAGGGGCTTCTGCGAAAGTTAGGCGCGGGATTGGATGATCTTTTGCCTTCATCTGCCTTGTCAGGTTCCTCCTCACACCAGAGCAGCAAACTCAAGAAAATACTATCCGGGCTAAGAGCCGACGGGGAGGAGGGCCGGCAGGTAGAGGCACTGACGCAACTTTGCGAGTTGTTGTCGATTGGGACTGAGGATTCTCTGGGATCATTTTCGGTAGACTCCTTTGTGCCCGTCTTGGTTGGGCTTCTCAACCATGAGAGCAACCCCGATGTGATGCTGCTCGCTGCAAGGGCACTTACTCATCTGTGTGATGTTTTGCCTTCGTCCTGTGCTGCCGTTGTGCATTATGGTGCTGTGCCCTGCTTCTGCGCCCGACTTCTGACCATCGAATACATGGACTTGGCGGAGCAGGTATCCTTTGTCATTTTTTTTTTTTGGCTACCTGGTTTACACCTGAATCTATCTATCTACACTTGTCCTTTGTTAACATTTTAATTTAAATGCCTTTTGTCAGACTGTGGGTCTATTTGGGGCAACTGCAACTTATCTAGATAAGTTGATTGGGCATTTTTGAAACAGCTGATCTGTAGCTGTTTCTGAATAAATGACCATTCCTCCCCAGATCTGGATAAATTGTTTAACTGTTTGGTTTGTGCGTTTGAAAAACTGTTGATTTACTATTTTTTTGTGGATAAATGACCATTCCGACACGCGCAGTGTCTGTTTGCACCAGAATTGTAACGACTACTCATTTGACAGTTGAGAACTGAAAAAAAAATCATTTCATAACAGTAGAAAATTATGATACACTTCACTTAAAATTGAGTATCAAGATACTTAATTAAAATAGATATTGAAATTACAATTAATAATAAGATTATAACATTCATTTTAAAATGCAAAAAAAAATGTTATGAGCATCGTTGTTCGGTTGGTGCACGATCGAACCCCGAGCAACATTGTTTGGTTGGGAAACAGTCGAACCACAAGTGGCGTTCTCCGGTTGTGATACCGTTGAACCCCTTGCAACATTGTCCGATTGAGATAATGTAGAATCTGACGAGCTCTTTGCCCACCTGAGTTGTCGTTACAGTCGTCCGGTCTGTCTGCCCACAATAGACACTTGTAAAACTGCCGCCCGTAGCTATGTTGTCGGCGGGATGTGAGTAACAAGGACGACAGTCCGCAACAACATAACACTCGCCCGGACTTCTCTGAAAACCTATAGCTTATCTCACTACAATTATTTAAGATAGAATAGATCAGTCAGGAAATTACATGAAATAAAATAAAGTTGACAAAAGTTGGATTATACTAAATCATTTGAATCAAGCAATACATAATATAATGTTTTTTTTTTCTTTTTAAATGCTAAAATAAAGTTGGCAAAAGTTGGATGAAGTGGCTATCAATTCAAGTGTTATAGAAGTAAATATTAAATTTTTGGTGTAAGAAATATAATTGCATATGAATTTGCTTTCTCAGTCTTATTTATAAACAACTTAGTGGCTAGCAAAAAAAAATGAAATAAGCCACTTTATTTACATATAACCAAATACAATGCAAAATTATGCTTGTTGTTTAGAAGCAATCAATGGGGCATGTAGAAGAATTTGTAAGAGTTCCTTGCAAAGCAAATAAATACTAAGAGAGCCTCGTCGAAGTTAATCACATTTACACAAGAAATATCAATGTTTGGTGACTAGAAATACACCAATTGGAAGTTAAAATTTTCCAGAAATACACTGCAAGCAAACTGAAATCAAAGCTAATAACACAAAACACACGTAAAATTAAAAGGAATTTTGGCAACTTTATTATTGTGTCAATAGAAAATTGAGTAATAGCACATATTGCTCTGTATAAGACTCATTTCAACTTTTCAAACACACATAAAATTATATTATATTAACCAAACCACACTCAACTTTCATCGAATCTGAATTGGTATTTGAATATAAGAATTACATAATAAACCTCATATAAAATTAGTTATAGAAATCCCATGTTTTAATACACCAAACTTATATTCTCTGCAACTCACCCTACAAGTGAAAGAAGTAGAACTATTCCTCATAGGACTTCCTTACTAAGGCTTTTGTTCTATATCTCCTCATTACTTTTGTTGACTTGCTCTAATCTAACTGATTTTATTCATTAACTTTTTGTCCTCTACTACCTAAACGAAGCACCAAGAAATGAAACTACATCCTTATTTCATCGCTTACTCCCTTCTATAAATAGATACAGTGAGAGAATCAAGAAGCTATCAATAGATACATGAGCTCCCGTTACAACAACCCCAGTGAACATGCATTCAACTTCTCTTCTACTACTGGATCAATGCTATTGAATTTTAACTTCTTAGCTGCTGGCACGACATGCACGACATAGGAAATTGAATTAGTTAAAGCAGTTCAATATAACTAAAAATGAATTAAGGAAATGGTGAAAGGTATGCCACTACCTCTAGTTTTTCAGCCCACGAATCCTTAGGAGCATCTATTGTCCGCTTCTCTGGATCCCATCTCAAATCTGTAGTTCCCCTCTTATGTTCTTTTCATATTTTCTAGTCATTTTTTAATTGATCCCGCTTATTCTTAAATTTGCATCATATCATAGTCTTTTCATGTCAATTCCTTGAATTTGATCATAACATTTGCCAATATTCTTTGTTAAAATATGTCGTTGGTTTATTTCCCAGCTCGACCTCCCTAAGATAGAGATCACAAAAAATATTGGTGGCATTCCCGTCTCACATGGCCGATGTTCCATCCTCTTTGCTCTTAATCATTGCACGACTTACTAGTAAGTGGGAAATAAAAAAAGAATGCATTCAATAGCATTAGCATCAAATGTTGAAGGTTATTCAAACCACCAAACTTAGAACGAACAAATCTAAACATATGACAATAAACCAAACAAATGAATAAAACTACTTGATTTAAGCCTTCGAGGAAGACATTAACATTAGAGTAGCCTTTAAATGTTTCATAATAATGTTGCTACATTTCCTAGCTTTGAACATTGAGGAAGACATTAATATTAGAATAGCATTGGGGAAAGAATGTGATATGAAAGTAAAAAGACAAATTTTAGGAGACCACGAGACTGGTGGGAAAGCAACGTGATTTAACACCAAAATCCTAATGAGATAGTTAAGATTACAGCTAGGTGCGAAAGCAAAAGGTATACTTTAGAGGCTAGTTATGTAAATGCATAAGAAGTGCTTGTTACTATATGTAAACCTTCCAATTTTATCTCTTGCAAGATATCAATCATAAAATCAAAATTTCAAACCTGTTTGAGCAAAATTCATCTTACAAAGAGTTGGATGATAAAAGAGACCCGTGGAACATTTTTAGCTCTTGCTATAAAATAAACATACATTTTATAATCCTCTATCACAATAAAGAAAATGCAGTGTTAAGATACCCCAGGTGCTAGTTCACCACTGGTAGCCAATTGCACCATATATACATGAACTCGTAATTCAAGGATCCAGAGAGCTCAAAGCTTGTGCGAAAAGAACACTGGGTATCTGATCAAAACGTTAAAAGTAATATGGAATGGCTTAACCAAATTAAGAATAATCATAAAAAATAATATTAATAAAAATAATAAAGGGAGAATTACATACATACCACTCAATTCCTATGCATTTACAAATCTAATACCAAAACTACAATTCAATTTTTAGATACAAGCCATCATTATCAATGCATCAAAAGTTCTATTTTGCTTTCTGAGTTAAAATGGTGATATTATTTTTTAATGTTATACGAAAAATTTGGGTGGTATAAATGTAAAAAAAAAAATCAAAGTACTAGTGTTCGATATAAAAATTCATGGGAATTAGGAGGTGTGTATGTAAATGCCCCAAATAATAAGGCCGCTGCCATTGTTTTCAGCATGTCAGAGCACGCCAAATGTAAGTAATATTACATATAGAATAGTAACAGGCGTCAAATGAACAAAAAATACTTGCAACAAGATGCTGACATAGATAATAATCCACGTTGTTATTTGTCCTAAATATCATTAGGACAGAAGAAATGACAAACCCATCGCCAAAATTTGTCTAAATTGAATCTTCAGCCAACTAAAAACCATCTTAATAAGGCACGATAGGAACCTACATTATATATTGTTGTTGCAGTGCGCCGTCACTGGTTAGTAGGAATGGGGGTGATTATAAAGGATGCTACATTACGGGTTGGTGCTGGCCTTCTTGACAGTTTTTTTGTGCCCATATACATTCTTATGCTCTCTCATATTGTGTGTCTGCGAGGATCTGATGCAAGCTCTGAATTTTGTGGCAGTGCCAAAAATCTTTTGCTAACTTGACATATAAATTAATTTTATTATTTGAAGTGGGTGAAAATTAAATATTTACTTTTGGGAATATTGAATAACATGTGCTTCTCTCTCTCTCTCTCTCTCTATATAATATTAAAGGGAAGAAGATACAAATAGGTTATATGAGCAGACCCGAAAGTAGGCACCCAACCCACACGATACAACACAAAAAAAAAATTCAAAAAAAGAGAGGATACATATAAAATAAAAAAAAAACTCAATCCACCAGGGCGCGGAAGTAGTTAGGGATGGCCCAATTTAGTCCTGCCTCTGCCTTTAGTATTCAGAAGAGGGCCAGCTAACAGATTGGTGAGGTGCGTACCATTATCCGAAGTAACCAAAGTATCATCCATTAAATTCCTTAGCTCAAGTAGATCTCTATTCTTCTTCTTCCTCCTGGAAGTGTAAACCTGCCATTCGAATCAGGTGGTGAAGCTGTAGCAGAAGGATTGCCAACCGTTGTACCCACAATAGTTTCTAGTATGTGTGAAGTATGAATTGTCGCCTCTACATCGGATACTTTCTGAAGATGGGGAGTTGCAAGGTTCTTCTGATTATCAGTCCGAACACTATCCTTTGTAGGTAAGGATCCTTCAGTATTGTTTTCAAGAGGGTTTAAAGATGTAGGTTGCCCAGCAGAGCCATCCAGCATCACATCAATCGCAGAAATAATAACAGTATTGTCACATTAATCGAAGAAACAGTAAAAGTATTGTCAAGGGGGGTCCACGGGAGCATTTAGATCAGTCACCAAATCCTGTCTTGTGATAGTTTCCTCCTCATGTGGAGCAGATATGTCCAGAGCAATAGGGTTAGACCACTCCTTATTCACTTGAACTTTAGGTTTCAAATTAGGATGGAGCTTGTGGCATTTTTCAAGGGTATAACCAAACATCTTACAATGTGTATAATAAGAAGGTCTGTGTTCCATGATGATTTGTTGTCAATATCCATTATGAGTTGTGCCCAGCCAGCTGCAATAATATCAGGTAAAGTAATATCCCTTTCCATAAGTATTCTTGCCACAGGGGTCTGGTTAGATTGAAAGTCGGTAGATCTAGCTTCATAGGATTTCCAAGTATGACCCCAGATGTATGTATGTATGTATGTATGTATGTATATGAAAAAACATTAGATGCCAAGATTTTATTAATTTATGTGCATCATATATAATGATATATTAAAATTTATGGGGCATGTGCCCCACATGCCCACTCCTCTAAATTCATTCTTGAAGCTCTTTTATGATAACTTGGAAACTAGTTTTATAAATATTAATATGAAGTTAGTTGATGTTTAATTTTCTTCTTAAGTCATAGTCAAATTTCCAAGCTGCATGCTACTTTCTGTATATCATATGCATTTATAGGTGTGTTTAAATATCTGTAGACGACTATGATTGGTTGTGAATAGGGGTGATTTAGAATCATGTTGTTGATTCAAATCCATCGTGGGACAAGATTGCTAGTTCCATTGGGAACATCATAGAAGTTTTAGAAGAGCCTAGAAAAATTATATTATATTGATAAGCAGATTTTGTGGTGGAGTGAGGAGATAAAACAAGTCATTAAAAAAACAATATATTTTAAAAGATGCGAGAAAACTAGAAATCTTGTAGCGAAGTCAGTGAGAATGAATCAGTTTTCGATGATTTATGCGTAGATCAAATGTAAGTATGAAGGTATATAAAATATATAAAGCAAGGGTTAAGAGGTTTAGGGAATTTGATAATGTTAGATTGCAATGAGAGCCGAAATAAAGTTATCATTTTGGAAGAATGTAACCCAAAAAAAAAGTATTAATAGTTAGGAACAAATGACATGTTCCAAATCATGATAATTATAAAGGAATTAAACTTATTAGTTGTACTACGAAGTTATGCAAGGGATTTAAGGAATATAAAAAAATTATGCCAAAATATGAGAATCGATTCTTTTTATTGTCTATAAATTCTTTTATGAAATCATTCTTTTTACAAAGAAAATTAACCGTAAATTATATAGATTTGAGAAACTATATTTATATGTTTCTTATTGGCCTTAAGTAGGCTTATGATCGTGTCCCATGAGAATTAATTTGGTTCCTTTCTGCTAAAATATATATATATCAGAAGTTTGTTCTACTTATTAGTAATATGCTTGTGAGAGCATTGATTTGTCTTTTGACAAAAATAATTTCTTGTTATGGCAGGATTATGTTCATGATCAAAATTAAGGTTTTTTTTTTGGTATTGAAATTTTAATTAAAAAATGATATTCATAATGAGGTGCCTAGATGTATGTTTTTATCAGGTACATTGTTCAAATTAGTTAGAAATCTATTAAAAAAGATTTTGTAGGAATAATGTAGCAATTTTAAAATATAAATAACGAAAATCAATGGAATGAATATTTACTATATGATATTTAATGTTTGTTGGTATCATAAACTGTATATTGTATTGCTCATGTAGATGAATAAGGTTATAGGTGACGATATAACTTTTAGACTGAAGGCCGAGTAGTTAAAATAGTGCGATTCCTCATTAATATTATGCAATGTGATATTATTATGGTAACTGGATTGTAAATTTGGTAAAATCACAATTGGGACAAGAATATTACATTGGTTCAAAGTTTTACCATTAAAGAAGTCATTGATAGCCAAGTTGAATTCGTAGAAATGAGAAAGCCTAGAGGCATCTGTGACAAAATTAAGGGAGATAGATTGAGGAATTTATATGTTTGAGTGATAGTGGGATCATATGCTATTGTGCACGTTCAATGAAGTTAGAAGGCACAATTTTAAGACATCCGGGTAAAATTCGGCTCAAATGATTAAGAAGAGAAGGATTTAATGGTTAGAAGCTATCAAAAATATTTTTGCAGAATAAGTTTAACATACCATATATCTCTCAATCAAAATAAATAGAGAATAAAGATTCATATAGTTGACCACAAGTATTTGGAATAATGTCAATGTTGGTGTTTTTTTTACAAGTTCAAAAAGGCTTATCATCATTAAAATATCATATCATAATATCTCTCATGCTTTACGTGAATGTTATTAACACATTAAATTTCACAATCTATTAATATTTAGTGACACCTTAGATTTTAAGACATCTGTTGAAGCTTCCTGATAATTCATCTTGCTGTTTAGAACTAGTTTCAATAATTTTTTATTCCAAATTTTGACATACTGGTATATTTAGTTCAATGTGTATGTAGTTATGTATCTAAGGATTCATATTAATATGTATAGAATAATAAATATGCCATGGTAGGATTGTTAACTTGAGAAACTAACCCAAATTAAGAAGAATTGTTTTCTTCTTCGTAGTCGTTGTTATATAAAATCTAGTTTGGTTAAGGTGTTATAGAATAAGGTAGGCTGTATTATATAGTGATTTTTCCCCGAGCAAACTATCATGAAGCCAACCCCCTTGACCCCTGTCCTACATAGTATTATTAGATAAAAGAAGGGAATTTGCCAGATTTTTAGATTGTTGCACTTTATGTTGTGAACTCATAGTGCCATTTTCATATTCAAGAATGTTGAGTACGTCACCTTACAGGTACCTATGTAGTGTGTTGGCAGTCACACATTCATAATTGCAAGTTAGACTTTATACCTTAAGGAACCAGGGAAGATCCATTGTCCCTGTTGAAAAATATTTGCTTTATTTTGCAACAATATAAGTAGTGGGTATATGTTTGTTAATTTATTCCACTATGCCCTAAATTTAACGCTTTAGTGGACATTTTTTGTTCTTTGTAATAACTTATAAATGGGTTTAATTGGTCTTCTTCAGTCTCTTCAAGCTCTCAAGAAGATTTCACAAGAGCACCCGACTGCTTGTCTGAGGGCTGGGGCACTTATGGCTGTTCTTTCTTTTCTTGACTTCTTCTCAACTGGAGTTCAGGTAAAAAGGTTCTGCTCTTTTTAGTTATCCAGTAGTGATAATCTTGCCTTTTAAAATTGATTTTGGAAAAAAATCATTTGTTTTATTAATTACTCGTACTTCTTAATGATGCTTATTAGAGGGTGGCGTTATGTACTGCTGCCAACATGTGCAAGAAGCTTCCGTCCGATGCAGCTGAATTTGTGATGGAAGCAATTCCATTGCTGACAAACCTCCTTCATTATCATGATGCGAAGGTATTGAATGTACTGAATCTTAAAATGGAAAAAAGATATTTGCATTGGCTACTTTTTATTAATTTTTCTATTTAACAATATTTTTTTGGGTTGTAATCACTGCTAAATTTAAGTCCAGGTGCTTGAATATGCCTCCGTTTGCCTAACACGAATAGCTGAGGCATTTGCTTCGTCTCCTGATAAATTAGATGAGCTATGCCATCTTGGGTTGGTTGCTCAGGCCGCTGGGCTAGTTTCCTTGAGTAACTCAGGAGGACAGGCTTCTCTTAGCACGTCGGCGTACACGGTATCTATATGTGAAGGCTTTGATGTGATTTATTTTGTGCTCCCTTTTCCTTATTGTTTTAACCATTTTAATTATTTCAGGGATTGATACGCCTCCTGTCAACCTGTGCTAGTGGATCACCATCAGCAGCTAGAACTCTTCTTCTCCTTGGCATCAGTGGAACACTAAAAGATATTTTGTCTGGTTCTGGTCTTGTTGCTAATGTTTCAGTTCATCCTGCATTAGCAAAGCCATCAGAACAGGTTTTGGATGCTTACCTTTTCTCATATTCTCCTTCACCAACCTACTTGGCATATAATACCAGTTTTCTTTGTGCATGAAAACTTAACCTACTTATGCCTTGCTTATATTTTAAATATTTTTGCTACGATCTTATGATAATAGTTTATTTTGTCTGCTGTACGTTCTGAACGATAGCCTGACTTTGATGTTATAAAGGAATTCTTATCATTGTTATTTTAATGCATTTGCCAGATTTATACCAGCATGTTTTATAACAAAGCAATATACAGGTGCTTAGCCCTGACTATTTGATTCCCTAGTACTTGGATGGATGGTAGGTTGTTAATTGTATAATTTTACACATATAACGCTATTTGAGGTTGATTGCTTCTTGCTTTTGTATGGGCTTGTTTGGGATTACTTTTTTTTATTTTAAAAATATATTTTTTTAATTCATTTTTTGCATGTATTTATCTTTTGTTTTTAAAATCCACTTAATATGTTATACCTTATCATATATATTTTTTGCTTTAAATCAAAACACACACAAAAAAATAAAAATAAAAATAATAAAACAAAAAATAAAAGTGGTCCCAAAAGACCCTAAGCTTTTCAAAAGTTTTATGTTTTTGTTTCAAGTTCAATGAAGATGCCTTCTAAGACTGATTAAAGAACTTAGGCTTATGCTATCTGTTACAAGGTTTTGTTAAAGTGTCAGGCTGTGTGTGTGTGTGTGTGTGTATCTGTATAGCTGTGTGTTTATGTGCATGCATGTGCATAAGGAAGAGTACTTCACTCACCAAAAAAAATTCACATTAAAAAATGGGATGGGTTTCATTACTTAAGTGAATCAACATAGTACATACTGTCTCCCAATCAAAGGTACATATAATATACTTACTATTGTAATTGGTCCACCTAAGCAAAATTTAGATAAATACCATTTTGTGTGAATTCGCTTGGGGTGCATGACAAGTTTCATAGGGATAAAATCTTTGGGCACCCTATTTCATTTGGTGCGCAATGCTTCTCTGCTTGTCTTGATTTTTATTGTGTACATATTGTTTAGGTTTGATATTGAAGCTTTGGAAGACTTCAATTCATATTTATCCCATGGAGTGACCAAAGAGGCTGAAATGAGAAAATAAATTGTTGACTAATGCTCGGCTTGATAAATAAGTACAATGGAAAACTGAAAATATTTTGATTAGACGAATTTTTTTACAATTTCATGCTTCAATTAAAGGGGGTGGATGGCCTTGGTGGCTGAAGTTCTGTTAAAGTGGGAAAGTGCATGTTATGATTTAATGATGTTGTTTAGCTAGATCATGCGATGATGCGAGAGAGATGATGGATAAGGTAGATAAGGTGGAAAGAGAATGGGTAGATGCTTTGGGGTTGGCTATAGAGTACATTTTTAGTGGGATTGATGAATAGTAAGTATTGTCTTTATATTAAGGGAAGATACAAAGAGGTTAGTCATTCCTCATTTAATTGTTTAAATAGCTATAACTAATATTTTTTTTAGGATATGTTGACCTCCAACCCTACTGTAAGAGGTTTATCTTACCATAGGAGAGAGTAGTGCCAATTTGCATTAAGGTCATTAAGGCTTTATTTGAGGCAGCTGTAACATATTAAGAAGCTGTTGAAGAATAATTTGATATTGCAAAAGCTGTGGTGGTTATTATAATTTTTTTTTTTGAAAAGTCAAACCGCAACTAGAAAACTCTCACCACACCTAATCAGGAGCGGTGGGAAAATGCCGGTTTCAGCAGCAGCTGCTAAAACACAGTTTTCCCAAACGACTAAAATTGCAGTGCGGTGTTGCGCCGCTGCCGCATCACTGCACCAAACGGAGCCTAAGTTGCAATTGAGGTGGGTGCGATATTGCATATAGTGTGTATGTAACAAAAAATTTTTGTTTGTGGAAAGTGAACTATTTTTTGCTAATTGATGTTGTAAATACAATATAAATGAGATACCTCTCAATTAAAATTTTGTCATCATCAAAATTTGCCTTTATTCCAACATAAATCCTTAATCTATTCTATGAATGCATTTTGTAACAATTTATCTCCATGTTATCTTAAGTTTATGCAATTGCTTTTCTAATTCTATATCAGTTATTTTATCCATATAATATTGAATTACATTTATCCATATGACTTCAGGTTTATCAATCTTTCTTTACAATCCTTCAACATTTATTTTATATGCCCATCTATTGACTACATTTTGTACACCTGTCTATATTTACAAAACATCTTAACCTATTTTTCTTCCTTATTTCATTATACCTTTAATATAACCATTTATCCATTTTTCTTGTTTTGCTACACATCCACTTTTATATTTTTATTTAGCTTAGCAATCTATGATTTATCTTAGGGAGATTACATTAATATTGCACTCAGCAAGAGGACAACATCTGAACAATTACAATTTCCCATCGATGCTGCTCGGGTGCCCCCTCTTGAATCCACTGCTAACTCCAACACTATTACTAAACATGTTAATCAAAAACTTCTAATGAGGTAACCGCCATGCCCCCCCCCCCCCCGCAAGCCTACCCGAGCCTTGCTAAGAATGGTCGTAAGCCCAGACCACTTGATCATCATCCAACCAGCTCTACGTCTAAGGTTGAAAACTCTTAGGGAAACGGTTTGCAAAGCTCACTTTGACAAGGAACTTCTCAATCTGGGCCCGACAGGAAAACGTTTTTGCAAGAGGAACCAATTAATGAAAGCTTAACAATCGGCGTGGTCACATCTCCTTTAGTGATCCAATGAGTGTGATTCTTTTTTGGAATTGTTGCGGGGCTCGCAAGGAAGCGACGGGTCATTACTTCAAGAATTTTATTGGGGAACATAATATTCTCTTTATTGGTATGGTTGAAACTAGAGTATTACTATTTTTTACAAGAATTTCTGGCATATTATAAAAAAATGAAGTTTTAAAAGCGATTTATGATTTTTTTATTTCCTATCACATGCCTGCTATGTGGAAGGAGTCTCTAGTTGTTCTTTTTCCTAAAAAGGATTATGCCGACTCTCCAAAATTATTTCGACCTATTAGTTTTTGCTATACCATTTGCAAGGTCATTGTGAAGATTCTCGTCCATCGGCTAAAGGATGTTTTACCTTCACTCAGCTCGGCGGTACATGGAGCTTTTACTCCCCAAAGGTCTATCTCTGATCGCTGCCATATTGCTTTGGAGGTTATTAATAAGATGAAACATTCCATAGCGAAATCCGGCCTTATGGCTATTAAGGTCGAGATGGAACAACCCTATGATAAAATGAATTGGTCTACGCCAAAATTTTGGATGTTTGGGGCTGCCCTAAAACATTCAAGAATTGGACTATTAATTGTTCTCTCAATCCTGAGTTCTCTTATCAATGGCAAGCAATCTCCTTGGATTGAGGCGGCGTGTGGATTCCGGCAAGGGTGTCCTTTATTCCCATACTAGTTGATTATATGCTCGGAGCTTCTTTCTCTGGCGTTCTCTCAAAGAGCTCAACATACTGGTATCAAGCTTACTAAATATTCTTCCCTGTTATCACATTTTTTGTATGCAAATGATATTATTCCACTCTCTGAAGCTAATATGAGAGCCACTAAAACCCCTATGAATATTCTTCATGATTATTGCAACTGGACTGGACTGTGTATCAACAACTCTTAAATCAACCATCTTATTTAGTAAGGCTACTCGTAGGAGCTTAATAAGGGGAATTTCACGTTATTTAAAGTTTAAGCAGGTGGAGGAGCTTGACTGCCTTGTCATAAAACTGGCTCTTAGGAAATTATATAATACTAAAAAAGCTACGGCTAAATTCCTGGGTGATGCAACATGTTTCTTTGGCCGACAGAACCACTCTGATAAATTTATCCTTACCATTTCCATGTATGTTATCGCTCATTCTGAGGTGCCCTCTATTGTTCTGGAGGAAATCGAAAGGTGATGCAAACAATTTCTATGGAAGAAAAAGCCAACTTAACATGTTATTCACTATATGGCCCGGGAGAATCTTTGTAAGCCTCTTTCTCATGGGGGCTTTGGATTCCATGCTTATAGAAATTGGACGGGCCCACTTCGTGCAAGAATTGCGTGGAACTTCGTGCAGTGTAAGGATTCGTTATTTCACAGGTTAATTAAAAGCATTTATGACGATAATATTTGGGTGCAAAATTTTAAAAGAAAATAATTCTCTTACTTGGAAAATTTTATGTAATGGTTCTAAGGCTCTCCAACATGCTGTTCGGTGGAGGATTGCTAATGGGAACAAAGCTAATGCTATGGATGAAATTTGGATACAGGATTTGCCTCTCTCCAAATGGCCATGCCCTCTGAATATTGATGTTGTTGATGATAGGCGGGTTCCACAATTTATTATGGATGGTCATTGGAATGATGAGGTGCTTCGCGAGGCATTTGGCGAGGAGTTGCGTATGAAAATTTCGGGTATTACCATTCATCATGACACTGCAAAGTATGGTCTGAAGCTTCTTCGAACTCACTCAGGTAAAACGATTACCACATTAGCCTATGAAACAAATTTTAAAGTTTCGATGAATGATTGTAGCTGGCTCAACAAACTTCATATGCATCCTTGGGATAAAATGCTTTGGTGGCGCTTTATTAATGATGCTATACCGACCCGTACTTGGCTTGTTCGAAGGGGGCTTACGGACACCATCAATTGTCCACGGGGATGTCCTGATTCAGAGACTAGAGATTTTCTTATTACTAATTAATCATTTTTTTGTAGAACTAGATATATTTTGCTTTCTTGGGGAATCTCTATTCCACATTTTGATAACTTTAGTGAGGCTATCATAACACTTAGTAAGGTGCCTAAAACCAGAGTGCCACATGCTAGATGTGCATAATCATACCTATGGCACACCAACTATTATTGTAGCTAATATTCTCGAGGCACTCAACTTGCATAACACTTTATCCTTTTCTGGAGCAATGGGATGCTAGCCGATCTGACAGTTCGGTTTATATTCA